GGAATATCTAAACAGGTAACAAAATTGCTTCATCCAGGGTTATGTTCATCTCAACTAATAATGAGGGAATACAAATACAAGAAATAGAAATCGAGAGAAAGGAAAGGATATATCAGGCATACAGATCGGAGATGAATCCTTGTAATCAATAAAAAATGCATATTATCCATCCAGGTGAAGCAAATGACAGGGATTGGAGATAACTAACCAGTCGTGATACACATGCGCTGCCAGTACCGCGCCGTCGCCACCACTGAATTGACATCGCTGCAGTTCTAGGAGCCGCCGCCACCACCAATGAACTGACATCGCTGCAGTTCCAAGAGCTACCACTGCCGCCGTGCATCGGAGAGCTGCCACCTGCCACCAGCAACATCCCTCGGATACCTGATCGATTCAACCAAAACAAATGATTGTGGAGATGCAAATTAGTGGATCTGTGATGGAGTATCGTCGTGAATATGGACTCCCAAAAAATCCAGATGTGGGTCGTGGGCGGTGGTGCATTCAAGGAAGAATAGGGAGGCGCAAGCAAGGGCGGCGGCAGTTTCGCCTCTTGGTTCTATGACCTCTTCAGGCGGCGACAGGGACCGGCGAGGGTGCGGGGGCACGTGGGCGTTCTCCTGCAGCGTCCGGCGGTGCGGTGCAGCCGCCAGGCGTTGTCCTGCGGCGCTGCTGGCGCTGGTGCCGGGACGCGGTGCTACTGCTGCGCCGATGGTGGTGTAGTGGGGACTTCCTGTTTGCTGTGCTACTGCTGCGCCGATGGTGGTGTAGCGGGGACTTCCTGTTTGCTGACAGTGTTCTCAGTTGCCATAGAAATTATTGTGAGGATCTGCCACTAAAAAAAAACGCGAGGGAGAAAGGATCTGGGGGAGGAGCCATGGGACAAAGGAGGAGAAGAAGAGGGTGAGTCACCGTCAAATCCAGCCGCCGAGCTTCACCGCCGCTGCCGCTGCCGCACAAGCACCTAAGGCTTCGTCGAGCAAAGGAGCACAAGCTCCCTAGCGGGAGGAGGCGTTGAGGCGGCTGCACGGAGGATGGGGGAGAGGGAGGGGGCCGTCGAGCCTCCTGGCATGGCTGGGCGATAGCCCTGCGGGGCGCCGCCGCCCAGCACCGCCGCCGCCCGCCACTTGCCTTAGTAGCATTGGGAGGGAAGGGGAGAGAGAGGAAGGAGAGGGAGAAACGGAGGTGAGAGGCAGGCGAGGAAGGGCGGCGGAGGAGGAGGAGGAGGAGGGCAGCCGCCATCGCCGCCGCGCCCGTCGCCCCTGCTCACGTTGGGATGGGGAGGGAGAGACCGATGGGGAGAGAGAGAGAGAGAGGAGGGACCGTAGTATATACATCCTGTTTGCCTACGCGCGGTATCGCGGTGCGGACCGATGGAGCGATTGTCGCGTGGACGGGAGGGAAGAGCGACCTCACAGAAAAGTCGTACGAAAAAATAGTCTTACATTTGTTCTTTTTTTTTAGTTGTAGGAGATTTCACATGGTAGACGCGGCTATGAGATGGCACTGTCCAACGGGCATATACCCGTTGCCATCTAGTCACATGTGACTTGAGTGATTAAGACACCTATGCACAATGCTTGACATTTTTGGTTTGAACCCCCCACTGCTGCACGCGCGCATATTTCGCGTAAAAAAATCACGTGATTCCGCTCCTAGAAATCAATTGTGGAGGATTAGTAGAGGTGGTTGGGTTAGCCGTTTATATAGAGGCTTCTCAACTGTCTCTGCAAATCTTTTACATAGTAGTGATTTATTGGGCTATTCTATTATTTTCAATAATAATTTAACATATTTGTTGTTGACATTTTATCAGTTTCTTTTCTATCGGCTGCTGAAAGATTATGTGCAAGTTATCTAACAAATGGGTAGCTGAAAAATGACATTTTTTCTTAGGGAATTGGGCATGCTGGCCAGCCTCATGCAAAAAGGGTACTCATAGATAAGGATGGGGGTAATGGAATGGCTAGTGTGTTCTCAAGTTTTCACAAAATCTCCCAGTTTCATTCTAATTGAAGATTTTTAGAGCCTTCACACTAATCCTCAATAGGCGCACTAGAAAAAATATAGTTTCTTATGAAAACACAAATAACCGACCACCAATTTTGTATACATTAATCATCATTATCAATAGTAACAATTTGATTTAATTTGTTTTTAATCTACCCACCTCCTCCATAATGAAAATAGAATGCCACAACCCCTAAATTCTATCTAAATTACCTAATTGTCAATATATTAAAAATAAGTAAAGCGGTTTTAGAAAAATGGTATTAGTTTCATTTTTTCTAATTTAAGATAAATTCGTTATACTTTTTTAGAGATTAACTAGATTTTTATTATTTTTAGAAAAGATAGAATCACCTTTGAAACCAACTACAGAACCAATTTTTGTCTAGTTTCAAGAGTTGAAGGGTGTCCGGTATCCGATTTCATAGTTTAGAGTTAAAAATCGATTGCCACGCAAGCTAGAGGTTAGAAAATGGACTTTACATTATAAAATAATCTATTTGCATCTAAATTGTCCGCATCTATCATTATAAAAAGAATAATCCAAAGTACCAATTCCCTCTATGTATGCTTCTAATAAATTACCCACTTCTATTTTCTTTTATGACACTTCTACTATTACTAACAAATAAAAGAACGTAACTCAAAATATACATGTGAGATGCTTATGAAAGGATTGAGATATTGCCTAGAGCAGGGTGGGATTTGAATATGTGTTCTAAAAATTTCTAGAACTTGCAGCAGATTGTAGGCCCGTATTATCCGGTTAGAGCCAAATCATCTAGATGTTCATATTGACCAGATATGTGGTCTTTCCCCAAGTGCAACTAGGTTATGAGAAAACACAAAACAAGGATTATGTATATTTATAATTTCTACCTTTAGTGACAGTTTATTCCTCCCAAAACCTATAACCATAAAGACAAGAAAAGATAGGCCGGGGCAATTGAACAAGAGAAGGGTCTAATGGAATATTCCATGCCAGAATATGTGCCAGAGCACTCATCGGACAGTCCAGCATGAAGGCAGAAGGTCGATGGATCATCCGGCGGTGTCAGAAAACTTGGCCACTAAGTGACACTATGCAAAGGCATGTGTCGGATGATCTGGAGAAGAAAGTGCACAACAATATAGATCATTTGTTGCACATCAGAGAAGATTGTATGCATCGGATGGTCCGACAGAAGAAGCAAAGTACAACATCGGACCAACCGACAATTGGAAGAAGTTAATAGCTAGTAGCACCATATATGAGGTTGCCTCACTTTCTTGAGTATGGTGCAGTTTCCATGGCTTACAAGTTAGAAAAAGTATTTGTACACTCCATCCACCCTCTCAAGTCACTCAAGATCACATCTAAGGGTAGGATAGACACCATAGTTCATCCTTGTGAGGTTTAGGCCTTGGAGCTCAAGATTTTGAGTGATTGAAACATGTTGCCCATGTGTCCTAGCGACCTAGAGCTCTTAAGGTTTTTGTGGACTTTCAATGATGGTGTGGTAGCCTTCGAGGCGGTGAGCCTTCATTCTCAGTGTGGAGCGGCGTCATATCGGTGTGTTGGGGATGAGCAGACCCCTTCCCTCATGTGGAGAAAATCTCCATAGAGGATACAACGTCATGGTGACTAGGATCAGGTGGAGTTGTGAGACTAGGTTACTCACACCTACCTTTGGTTTTCAATTTGACACTGTGACCAAATTGGGTGCCAATGGTGGAAATTGTGAGACTGGGTGATTCATGACACTGCCTTTGGTTGGTGGTCTTGTGTGATAGTCTAACACCCTAGTAGAAATCGAGTGGCAAACAACGTAATCGGAAGAGACTTGATGATTGGGAGCGTGCTTCGATTGAGCTTTAACATGGAGTATAGGTTGTGATTCGACAATCGGTACCACGGGATACATCGTCGCGTCTTCGGGAGTTTGCCCTTTCTATATCCTTAGCTCTTTTTTACGTACCGTGTTTGTAGCTTCCACTTGTGCTTTACTTCTGTGGCCTTTACCTTACTTGATTAGCTATATAGGCTAGTTGATAGATTGGCTCTATGTTGCAAAACTCTTTAAGTGTTAAGGATAAGTTAGGGCACACCAGAAAAACCTTAAGTGTACATTATGATGGAGTAGTTTATGGCTTTTTTTCTTGGTAGTTTAAATTGAACCCTAGGTATTAAGTTTTGAGGGGTGTTTGGTTCCATGCCTTGCTTCGACAAGCCATGTGTGTGGCTGCCACAAAAAGCTGGCACCTGCTTGGTTCGTGTGTAAGTTATGGTAGCCACAAGATTCTTCAGTTCATTTATGTGCTAGCTTTTTGCCACAAGTGTGATGGTCATTCACCGGCGTCTCTATAAAATCCGTAACATTACGGTAGCAAATTTCATTCGCTAGTACTCTAAACAGGCTAAACAGGGAGAACGCTAGTAAAAATCGTTTTTGTATACTAGAGATACTTGGGTATACACCATCTATAATCATTTTTGTACTAGCAATTGGGTATATACACCATGCTCTATATTTAACGTTGATTTAGATGGGACTTTGAATGGCGATGAAGCTGGTTGGGATCAGTTGGAGGGGGTGGATTGTCGGAGACATGATGCATGTCGGACAAAGCGAATATATATATGGTCGTCAAATGTCGCTAACCTCTGAAGCTTGAAGAAATTTCGCAGGTTCCTTAACTCCTCGAGCTTTCGTTCGGGGGTGGCAGGAATGCAGAAACTGAAAATGGCGTGCCTTCAATTATACGTAGGCCACCATGATGCCGATTTAATATCATCAGCTGCGAACTGTATCCTGTGCACAACAGTGTTCACTGCACCCTGACCTGACAACGTCTATAAAAATGCAGAAACTGATCGAGCTGCTGCATGTGTGGCTTACTTGAATTCTGTCAGTGTTCAGCTGCCCGATCGAGCGAGCGTAGCACTGTCGGCAGTTACCCCTGCGTGCGTGCCGAGTGCCGTAGAGCACGAAGGCTGCAAGCTTGACATGGCGGCGGCTGCGGCTGCCACTCGTTCACTGCATTCCTTCCTTGCGCTTCTTCTCCTGTTGCCTGCGGCTGCGGCTGCAGCGTCGTCATCGTACGAAACCAAGTCCATAGATCCTGGACTCGTCGTGATGACGCTGCCGGAGCCGGTGTCCGGGCCGGAGAGTCTCGCCTTCGACGGGCGTGGCGGCGGCCCATACTCCGGCGTCTCCGACGGCCGCATCCTCCGGTGGCAAGGTCGCCTCCGAGGATGGACCGAGTTCGCCTACAACTCCAAGCACAAGTAAGCGATCCAGCGTGCATTTCATCTTCGTTTTGCATGCGTGCACATTCAACAATCGAACACACATGTACGGTTCACACGATTTTTAGATTTTTACCCGTGCGAACGTCATGCGCAGGAGCGTGGCGTTGTGCTCGCCGGACAAGAAGCTGGTAGTGCCGGAGAGCCTGTGCGGGCGCCCGCTGGGCCTGCAGTTCCACCGGCAGTCCGGCGACCTTTACATCGCCGACGCCTACCTTGGGCTGCTCAGGGTTGCCGCGCGCGGCGGGCTGGCGGAGGTCGTGGCGACGGAGGCCGGCGGCGAGCCGTTCAACTTCCTCAACGGGCTCGACGTTGACCAGCGGACCGGCGACGTCTACTTTACTGACAGCAGCACCACGTACAGGAGGAGGTACGGGCTAATTACCGGAGTTGCATTGCATACATAAAAACCCATTGGCAGCAAGGTGAAAAGCTAGGGGCCATTATATTACGAACGTTTGCATAGCATCCATAAAAACCCATTGGCGGCAGCAAGGTGGAAGGGGCCATTATTCATCGATGGTAGGTACCCCGCTGTCTCAAAACAGGAGTCGTTCTTGCTTATCGAGAAGTCAAACGTTTTTAACTTTAACTAATTATATATAAAAGAATATTAATATTTATAATACATAATTAGTATTATTAGATAAATCGTTGAATATACTTTCATAAAAAACTTATTTAGAGATATAAATGTTACATGTATTTTATACAAATATAGTTAAAGTTGAGAAAGTTTGACCTACCCACACCCATAACGTCTTTTTAAGGACAGAGGCAGTACATAGTAGGTAGTGCTCTATTTCCCTAGCTAACTGGCAACAAGAAACTAAGAAACGTAGTTCACATAATAAACATCAATAAAGCACTTGTTGTGCCGTAGTAGCCTCGTAGGTCCTCCAACGACTTTATGTGATAATGACTCAAATGCCTAGTTTAGATTGTAAATTTTTACAATCTGGACACTGTAGCACGTTTCGTTTGTATTTGATAAACTTTGTCCAATCATGGACTAACTAGGCTCAAAAGATTCATCTCGTGATTTACAACTAAACTGTGTAATTAGTTATTTTTTTTACCTACATTTAATGCTCCATACATGCGTCCAAAAAATGATGTGATGAAGAGAGAGTGAAAAAACTTAGAATTTTGAGGGTATCTAAACAAGGCCAAAGTTACGTTCAACACCGTAGCATGGATATAACAACAGCAACATTCGATACATGCTAATATTCTTTGTTTACCTATACTACATGAGTACCCGTGTGTTGCAACGGGTGCAACATAAATTAAATGAGATATTTGTTAGCCAAGTCAAAATCAAGAATATGGGCCTGTTCGCTTGTCTAAATTTTGAAGGAATCTAGATGGTTTGGAGAAATGCTGGAGGAATTTGTGAGAGAAAAATATTATTCCGGATGAAAAAATAAGCGGATCAAGCCGGGTTTAAGGGCACGCGAACGGGGCCTATATCAATTCAATTTTTCACGTGTATTATACCACGATAATATCTAGAAACACATTCATTATTGTAATGAATCTGAAATAAAAGTTAGGCTTGGAGCATCAGTTGCCTCAAAGACTGAAAATTTATTGCTAGGCATCGAATTGAATTTATCCATGCTCTGCCTTGCCAAAACATGTATACTCGGACTTACAATATCCTAGCCCGCACGAGGCATGGCAATAATTCATTTTTTGGGGAAAAAGTATTTGTTATCAACACGCAACGCGAAGGACAACGAACGATATTTGGATCACGATCATGATCATTGGGTGGTGATATTCCAATAAATTCCTTTCTCTTCCCATAATTCTCTTTCCGTTTTATTCCATTTTATTTACTTGCCTTCCAGTGTCTCCATGCGGTGATTATTTGTCTGCCGGTGATTCTGTGAGTTTTATTCCATTTTATTTACTTGCCTTCCAGTGTCTCCATGCGGTGATTATTTGCCTGCCGGATATGGATCGCATGAGATGCGGTGATTATTTGTCTGGCGGATATGGATCGTATGAGTGTTTTGGTCCTGCCGGGTACATGTTGACAATCCGTATGTTTTAGTCGTAGATAGATAGATTCGGTAAAGTGATGATGTATGAAAAACATTTCCGAAGCAAGTATGGGAGTTGTTTAGTAGATTTTTTGTTCAAAAAAGGCTTGTTCACAATTTTTTCCCCAAAATATCTATTCCCCCGCCGCCCCTCCAATTTTCGTTAAGAAGGTCATATCAACTCAATTAATTTTATTTTGATTATTATTACTTGACCTGCAGCATCTCAGATAACCTCGTGGAATACTATCTCTGTCTGACAGTTATAATGATCCCAGCGGGACCAACACTGATGCCAACCTCAAATTGCAATGCATGCAGCGACTACATGCTGGTGGTGGCCCTGGGCGACGAGACGGGCCGCCTGCTGCGCTACGACCGCCGGACCCGCCGCGTCTCCGTGCTCCAGGCGGGCCTCTCCTACCCGAACGGCGTGGCGGTGAGCGCCGACGGCACGCACGTGGTGGTGGCACACACGGCGCTGGGCGAGCTGCGGAGGTACTGGGTCCGCGGCGCCCGGACCGACACGTCCGAGACATTCGCGGAGCTGCCGGGGTACCCGGACAACCTGCGCGCCGACGGCCGCGGCGGGTACTGGGTGGCGCTGAGCAACGGCGTCGCGGTCGGCGGCGGCGAAGCGGCCGCCGCGGCACCCACGGTCGCCGTCAGGGTCTCCCGCGAGGGCAACGTGACGGAGGCGCTGGACGGGTTCAGCTTCGTGTCCGTGAGCGAGGTGGCCGAGCGGGGCGGCGCGCTCTGGGTCGGGTCCGTGGACACGCCGTACGCCGGCGAGCTGAAGCGGCGTACCAGCTAGTGCTTCGTGCCTTCGTCTTCTGCAACTGCCGTGCACGCACCGTTCTGTCATCAGGGAATGTCATATGCAATATGTGCATGCATATGCATGTGGTGGCATCAGCAGCGTGCTAGACATGTAATCTGACTCTACGTACCTGTGCTCTGGATAGGTGTGCCTGTGTGCCATGTCGTCGCCGTAGCTAGCATTCGCCGCAATTGTGGATGTGGACTCCGTTTTGTGTAACGGTTAGTGGTTAGTTGCGGGGGAAATTGGTTGGGTAGCATTAAAAGGTCGTGATCTTCGTAAAATGTTATTGAAAGTTTGTGCCCCCGTAAAATACCACTTAAAGGTTGGACTATGAACTGAAAGTACCATTCCATTAAAATAAAGTCACGGAGCTGTTAACTATAGATACCTCCAGTAAGAACCAAATAAACAGCAGTATGTACCCCAACATTTAAACATAAATGAACACATATATTTCAGTAGCAATATAAGCACATTCCCGCACATACATTTTGGCACATATGAAGACATTTAATATAGAGATCCCCTTAATATAAGCACACATGAACACGTACATTCACAACAGCCACTTCTCAACAACCATTTCTCAATATAGTACTAGTTAAGACAGCAAAGGGGACAGGTCTGCTAAGACATACAGTAGTTCAACACATGCATCCATAGTCTAACTAGATCATAACAGTAGTACAACACATAGCATTTGCACTAACAAAGCCAATGCTTAGCCTACGACAAGCCTTCTTGCAATTCCTCCTGGGGATATGTCTACTGCTGCCCTGCTCCTTGTTGTAGGTCCTGGATTGAGAGGACTAGTGGAAGCTGTCATCCTTCTTGTTGTTGGCCCTGAACTAATAGGTGATTGTGTGACTAAGTAAGTAGAAGGTGCATATACCTTTTTGAATTTTTTAGGAGCTTTTTTGCAGCTAGATGTACTGCCATTTTCTTTTCTTTTCCTACACATCAGGAAAGGTATCAGCCATATTTAATAAAAGATCATGTTACAGCAAAAGTACAGGGGTCAATTTACCTTGAATTAGTAGGAGCTGTCGGTGGCAATTCAACAGCGAGTTCAGTAGGCGGTTCACTATAACCCTTCTCAATATGTTCAAACTGAAAGCATCTTTTGCATTGGTAAAGACCCCTTTTTCCTAGCTCACCCTTACTTTTGATCCTCTTCACTCTTGGCCTACCTGCAGACCTTTCAAGCTTCGGAGACACCATTATAAACCCGGGATCAACAATAGGCCACTGTGACTTGTCAACCATTGGGTTGACCCCCAAACTGATAAGAAGCCTTGAAACGCTGAACTGAGTAGTAATCATGAACAAAGTCCTCAAGTTTAAGTTGTCTAAGGGAACCTATAAATGCTATAACATGAGTGCAAGGTTTCCCAGAAATATTCCACTGACCACATGAACATGTCTTGCTTTTAAGGTCCATAGCATGCCTCCAAGGATAGTTGTCTTTAGTCAATCCAGATATCTCAGCCTTGAGACCACCACTCCCCTTAATTGTGTACTTCAAGTTTCTACTCTTCATCTTTAGCTCATTTATAACACTAGGAAGAATTGACCCTTCAAGTTTATTAGCTATAAGCTGTCTCATAACTATCTTTTCCATGATCATATCCTAATTGTGTCCACGAGGACATCCACTGGGAACCCTTTGGTCTCTTTAATCCAGTTTGTTGAAGGACTCTGATATGTTGTTGTTCACATAATCAACCTTGCACTCCCCTGAGAACTTAGCTCAAGATCAAAGATGTTTGTGCTCTGATTGCAAGTAAGGAATTGCTACTGGACAATTCTCTCCAATTTTGTCCCAAAGCCATTGATACCTCCTAGTACTACATGCCCAAGCACAAGGCCACATGTTCTTTAGCACATCTCCATCGAAGTGCTTTTTCAAAATTATGCATGAGGTGCCTAAAACACTCCCTATGCTCATGTCACCTTGGAAGACATTATGGACTACTTTCTCTAAGCCTTTGCAAGCATCTGTGTGTATTGCGAGTCCATGTGGAGTTTCAATTGCTCTCTTCAATTCCATCAGAAACCATGTCAAATCAGCTTTTGTCTCCTTGTAAAAAATTTCATATGCCACTGGGTATATCCAATTATGTCCATCAATTGTTGTTGCTGTAGCTAGCTGTCCATTATATTTACCTATGAGGTGAGTAGAATCAACCACAAGGTATGACCTGTGTGGCAGAACCGTCTAATCTAATGCCTCTCAGGAGTACTTATCTTCCATTAGACACTAAGTATTCAAGAGAGGACACTAAACTACGTAGTTCCGTCGAGCACACCCCAAGGGAAAACTCAAAAATTCATATTTTTCCATTAGGATCATAAATGAGAGAATAAAGCTTACAACATTCTTAAGTCATTTCTTACATCACTTTATTACAGTAACAGAATATTACCTCAATTGATTATAATAGCGGAATATAACAATGTTATCAGAGTTATAAAGGAAGCAAAAATTAATTTAATGACATGGTGGAGCAATAACATAGTGGATATTTATATATAAGAGATGCTAGCAGATTTTATATTTTTTTTTATAAAAACTTTAGTGATGGTTATAAATAAACACTACGATCGTAGCGTGAAGGAATCCTCTCTGAGCCCACCAGGAGGTTTCCACACACAAGAGTTAGCTCTAAGTATCCTCCAATCACCTGCAACAGGGGGAATAAAACCCTGAGTACTCGATTGTACTCAGCAAGACTTACCCGACAGGAGGAAAATAAAAGACTCCAAGGATATGCAAGGCTTATTTGACTTGTGGATTATTGCATCTGCGGAAGCATTACTAAACGTGCGTCCTTATATTCAATTTTATTAGCAGTCATCATTACTTCATTAACTAACCATTCTATGTAAGCACCTATGCTAATTTCAAGCAGATGGTAAGCAATCAGAACCATTTTATCACCTTTCAAGTTCTAGTTCTTACTACGATGCTATACCATAGCCAAGTTGTACCATCTCACAGAAACGATGATTCGCGAATCAATGTATCCCAGCTGGGTACCCTGAAACACACGCCCCGCTTACGCCCCAGGCACAAGCAAGACTAACCCATTCTACTCATGTCATAGGGTCTAGGTCCCTGTCCAAACTTAGACTCTAAGCCCCCACACTTGAGACCCGGTCTCAATATGGTGCTTAGACCTCCACCTTTCCCCGCCTCCAATCAGTCGGTCAGAAAAGAGCCGAAACCCACGACAAGAGCGTAACGAACCTTCGCGCTCCCATAAGCAAGTATGTGTTCAGGATAATAAGTCTGTGACCTGACTACCATCCACAACAACGGACGGTCCTCAATCGACACAGGCGGAACAAATGCAACCCGAGCCTGCTCGAATGCCTAACCAAGTCCAGATCCCAAGTACCATTCTGCCTGGTCTCCAATTATTATTCTGATATATATTCCATGTGATAGTAATATGATAATAACAACAATAATATTTATCCTACCTCTCGCGAGTGACAGGTAATCACTCGATTTCTACTGGATCCTATCGCATAGCAATCTAAATGATCCTGACATACTAGTAAGACACATAGGACAAGTATATATATATATATATATATATATATGCAAGTGGTTTTTATTCAACTCCTTAAAACTTAATGCACAAGCATAAAATAAAAATGCAGAATAATAGGGGTTATGCACCAGGGCTTGTCTGGATAAGATATAACTAAAAGTTAGCATTCTATCATGGTGACATGGTTATCAAGGCACCATCCTTTCCGCTACTCCGGTCGACTCTATAATCCATCGTTGTTCCTATTATGATATACGTGGATGCAGCACAGAGACGCAATTAATCAACGGTAACCGTAACTCTTAAAAATACGATTACGCCTCTCAAGCCAACGAGCTAGCCCTAACGACTAACGTACTAGGCTACATACCACATTGTCGAGCAAGGCTTTGTCTCCGAAAAATGTTCTAGTTTTAAAATCCCAAGGTGTTTCGGCATTTTATTGATTAAATATATATTTTTGAACTAGGGCTCATTTAGCTACCTTAGCAAACTAATTATTATGGAGCTACAAAAATTACATAAAGCACCTAATAATGTGAGGAATTTACTGTGAAAGTTTTAGAGCCAACACTGTTACCAATTTATCACAAAAATTCCTACAAGTTTATATCTTACAATATTAAGCATCTCAATTTAATTATATAACTAATAAAAATATTATAAAACTATGTGAACAAAATATACTAGCAGATAGATCATGATTTAAATTGGTTTCATAGTTTTCGGTTAACTACACAATTTTATATTGAATTTACAAGTTTACCTTAGAAACTAAATTAGAAAATGCTTAGAAAAGGAAAAGGGCTGGTGGCCATCGATTCGGCCTAGTAGCTCAGCGCGGGCGCGGCCGCGTGCGCGTCGCAACGGCCCAACGTGGCCCAAGGCTGGGGAGTCTGCGCGCGTCGCAACGGCCCAAGGCCGGAGAGCCTGTGCGCGATGATGGTTTTGCAGAGAAGCCCTCGAGCTTCGACGTAATAGTACGACTACCATGTGTACTGTTCCCATCGACAATGGCTTTGTGACCAAGCCCTCGGTTGTTTTCATCCTCACCACGGGCAGGTCCCTAGAATCCCAGCGCTCGCCGGCCATGACCCGACGTGGCATGGTAGTGCGGGAATATGACCGCACGAGTGAGGGGCAGGCGGCGCGTCGGTTAGCGCTTGGACGAAGCCATTGAAGCTGTGCCCGCGTGCGGCCATGCGCACGCAGCAGCACGATGTCGTGATGTAGTAGACTACGTACAACGTCGAGCTCGGGCTTGGAAGGTGGGTTGTGCGGCTAGGAACAAATGCTACAGCGGCCGGGTGAGTTGGAGGGCGTGGGACAGCGCCACGAGCAGCGGCACGGCTCGAGACAAGGAGGGCAGCGGGTGGGGTAGCCGCACAGCAGGGCGGCAGCTGTGGCCGAGGGGCGAGTGCCGAGGCCATT